GGGCCCCGGCGGAGCGCAGCGCTGCCAGCGGGCTTGGGGGTGTTCCTGCCCGCAGAAGGGCCAGGCGCGAAGGAATAAAACTGAATTTATTTGTTATATATATATAAACGCAAATGTGTGTGTGTGTGTGTAAATACCTGTCCCAGTGTGTTTAAATGGGCCCGCTAGCTGACATGGAAACACGCTGAGGCTTCCACCCCAGCCGCTGCTGTTCCCATACGTGTGGGACTGGTCAGGGTTCCATAACGTCACTGCCCAGCATGATGTGCAGGGTGCACCACCTGACACTGGGACATGATACAGAAATTGGGGAGCTTGGTAGCCCATGATTTCCGCTCTCCCGCCTCTGGGATTTCCAGGTCTGCAACAAACGGTGCTTCCTTACTCATTTCTTGCCTGGGCTTTCCCACAGGGCTCTTTTCCCACGGCAGTGCGGAGCGGTGCGTTGAGCTCACGGCTGTGCGATGCCTCCCGGGGCAGTGCCTGGCCAGGGAACAGCGTAGGGGGCACAGCCCCAGCAAGCTGAATCCTGCTCCTACCGCTCAGCAAGTCAACAGGTCTGAACCCAGCCACGTGTGCAGCCCTTGAGCAGCAGAGATGCCACCAGGGCAGGGTCTAGGACCCCTGGGTCCCCTCCTGGCACGCAGGAAGCTCCTGTGCTGGGAGAAGCCCATGGACATCAACCCTAACGTGGCTCTGCCCTGGCTTTCTGTGCCCAGCACCTGCCTGAGCCCTGTGTTGTCCCCTCGGGGCCTTGTTCCCAAGCTACAGAGCAGGCCTGAGAGTGTGGGGTGCTGCCCATCTCCTCGCTCGCCAGGTCTGCTGCGGTCGGTGGCAGAGAAGGGTTTGCAAAATAATTTCTCCTTTCCACTGCCAGCACCTTCATGTTCCTCCTCTGCCTACCACGGCAATTTGCATCTGTGTGGGTGCACGCCAGGCGCGGTAAATCCGCTCAGGTGAAAACCGGGCGGAACAATCTATTCCATTCTGGTGGCTTTCGTGCTCCTGGTGTCTGGGACAAGGTCTCGGGGACACCCACGCGGCTTCTCTCCGTTTTTCCGAATCCAGCGTGTGGCACCTCTTGGCTAAGGGGCTCGGGGCCGATGGCGCCAGGGAGGCAGGGCTGGCTCTGGCCTCTTGGGCCAGCTGCTTTCGAGGAGCTTCAGGGGAGACCTCCTTTCTGCATAGGTCCAATTTCCAGCCGTGCTGCAGCTGCCGTGAGAAGCTCCCCCTGTGCTGCAGCGGCTGCACCGCGGTGGTCAGCGCTCGCCGGAGCTGCAGGTGTGTGGGGAGCACTGCCAAGCTCGCCCAGGACATCCCCCTGCCCGATGCACCGGCCTTGCGAGGAAGGGAAAAACCCCGTGAGCTGACGTGGGAGGAGCGGGGAGAGCGGTGAGGACACTTGTCATGGGTGAGATGTGTCGTCACCAGCCAAGGGCTTATAGGGGCTGCGGTGAGAACAGGAACCACTATCGCGGCAGGCGAAGGAGCAGAGGAGGGGAGCTCAGGTAGGTGCCTCCGGGTGGCTTTTCTGGGGTGTTTGTCACATGTGTGGGTGCAGGGGTAGGAAGACAAGCGCATCCACCATGCACATGGTGCTGCACACCCAGCCATGGTGAGGACGCGTCCCCAAGGACCTGGCCATGCAGCAACTGCGTCCCAGCCCCTCTGTGCAGGAAAGCAGAAACCCTGTAGTGAGTTTGAGGTGTTTCATTCACTGGGGTTTTACAGTGCCATGGCTTGAGAGCAGGAATCTGGCTCATGGGTTGCTCTAAGCGCTCCAGAGGCTGCTGGTGCCCACGTTCAGCACCGGGACGTGGGCAGAGGAGGGCATCGCAGCGGAGAGGCTGGCGCAG